ATCATTTTATAATAAATATAAAGAGCGTGTTTTGGGCTCTCTGTGGACATAAAAAATATCGGTGTAACCCAAGTAGATCGCCAGTAATTAATTGTCAAAGTTCGTCAACAATTGACCGAGGAGGCGTTTTTGACATTTTTACAGAAAAAAAGCAAAAGGCCTAAAATTATTTCATGGTATTTGAGCCTTTTAAATGTGTCCACAGAGTGCTTCAAAAAAGATAATACAATGTGGACTGAAAATCCATGGCGGGAAATCAAGCGAAACATCCGACCCACGACGGATGTGAAAAACACTGCTTTTCGCCGCGGCCTCTTTAAAAATTCATAAGTCGAGAACAAAAAATCCGACGAACTTGCGGTTTGTGTCGACTGCGGTTTTAGAAACGGCGCTATAACATATTTTTTTTCATCTAAATTAAAAATTCGACCCTTTTTGCCTGCACGATTTGAGATGAAACCACCCATATATATATATTAGGGCTGGGTGTCGATTAAGAATTTTAACCCGATTAATCGCCACCCTTTAATCGATTCATTAATCGATTAATCGGTTGCGTTGATTTTTATAAATAATATATTAAAAAGAGTGAGCAACAACTCGTCTTGCCTTTGAAGACTTATTTTACTCTCTGTAACGCGGCGCCAAAGATATTTAGAATTGAGGACAGTAGTTCAACGATTCAAAGACGCACATATTTTTGCTCCAGCTCCGAAGACAAAATGTTTGTCCACATTCTCCGACAGGAAGACAAGAAGTCAGGGTTTGGGCGATGCTTTCTTCTTTTTGCAGGGAAGGGGGCCTCGATGAGAAGGCGTTGATTGTTGTCTGCGTTTTGGCGGATGGTCCTTGCTGCAGCAGCGTACATGGGTGCTTCGCTCGTAGGTGATACTGAAGCGAACTTACGCTTCCACTGTACGAAAACGACTTTTTGAGAATGATGCAGTGGACTTCCTTCGAGTTAAAAACTTCACCGCTGGAGTTTACTTTAAATCCAAACTTTCCAGCGAGATTGCCTACTCGTGAACTCGTCCATTTTTAAGGGCCCAATAATGGAACAAGTAACCATGGCGTTGTTAGCTTCCCAACTGGCTTTTCTGCTTCGCTGTCTTGCCTGGGCAGAATGTGTAATAGGTCCTCAACACGTGAAGGTTCGCGGTCACGCGGAGATCAATTCGGGGCCCGGCTTGTTCGTCTGGCCTCGGCAGAACTGTAATGTACATCCTCGAGCACGTGACGTTTCGCGAGCGCGAGAATTGGACCTTGCTCTTAGCACCTTGTTGGGAGCGAAAGACCGCTCGGGACAGAACGACCGGATACACGCACGCCACACAGCGTTTTCCTTAGAGGGGCGGGGGGGAAGGGGGGGGGGGCATGAGTCACCCCTAATTCGGGCAGGTTGTCCAGGATAGAGCCATGCGTGCGTACAGTTGACTTCTTTTTGAGTACCGATTAAAAAACCGATTAACCGGCTAAAATATTTGGTCGCGATTAAAGCCTTAATCGATTAATCGGAAGGTTAATCGATCAATTGCCCACCCCTAATATATATTGCTTGCGTGCGGAGTTTTTTTTAGCTTATTTCTTTTTTTTTTTTAATCGCTTCTCTCCATGGGCAACCGCTTTGGGATTAAAAGTTTTTTTGTTTTGTTTTTCTGCGCGTAGCGTGCAGTGTTTTTTTTTTTTTTTTTTTAGCTTTTTTCCCTTCTGAACCGCGTCTCTTCGCTCAATTTTGTTGGCAACTTGAGCTTTTGAAATTTTCGTTCTGGGGGGGGGGGGGGGGGGGGGAGGGAGGGACAGGCTAGAAGACGATTGTTTGCACGTTTTTGGAAGCGTTCCCGGGGGTGGGGGTGGGGGGGGGGGGGGGAGGGGGGGGGGGGTAGTTCGATATTGGGCAGGAGATCGAACTATAGGGGGCGCTCTGACCCGTTTGTTTTCCCCACGCTCGGTGTTTACTCAACACAAGGCCTGTGCACATGCCGACAGGCCTTATGGGCATGGCCATGTCATCTTCTACAATAAAGCGCGGGCACAGTTTAATGTAAAAAAATACTAACAATCGACGAAGCGACGTTAAGTGCCGGATCTATCCTCAGAGAATGCGAGCTTGACCCACTTCGGCTTTTGTGCTGAGCTGGGATCGTGCATGCTGCCTTGTTCATGCAGGCCGCAGTGGAAACAAAAGAGCCCCTCCTCCCCCTCACCGGAGAACACGAACTCCAGCCGAACGCTGACGCCGCGTTCGGTTATGTCGGCCGAGCGCTGCGTCATTGTATTTGTTGTCCCCATCCGTGTAGTTGTTAAGTTAACCGCTTGGGGCGTCACGGTCTGTCCCCCTCCCCAATAGCCAATATGTTGTTCGTTATAGACCGACACGCGGCGCGGCTCTGTTTACCAACACGGCCGGAAGGCCGCGCGTGCGCAGCAGCTGCGTGGGCAAAAGCGGCCATGCTCTCCATGTGCTCGCCATTGCGTTCTATGACATGCGCTCGTTGTTGACGTTGTAGAGACGCTTCTAGCTTTATTTGTGCGTCGTATTTTCCGCCAACGTATGTCGTACGTTATGCCCGACTATTTGAGCTCGCTACCCGAGCCTGAACGGCAGCGGTGTCGAGACAAACTGTGGGTGGACGGAGTGGCCTTCGACGATCCGTACGCCGTAAACAGGATCTGGTGAAGCTCCGACGCGAAGTTGCTGCCACCGACGTCGACGGCTGACGTCGTCGTTTATTTAGTTTTTTCGCCAAGCCAGTTGACGGCCGACACGGTGCAGACGTACAAATCTCTCGAGGCTTACGATTACTTTGAGCCGGTTTCCGCACCGCCGGCATGATCAGCAGACTTTGGGTCTGCTGAAATGTATTTATTAATTGATTAAATACACACAGCGTCTTCGAGCCAATGTATGATAATGTAATGTAATGTTTTGGGCCTATGTTTGGCTTAGTGTATTCCGGGTGTTATGTTGTCATTGGTCGACTTGGTTGGTGGTGTGTGGACGTGGTGTGTATAAAAGTGCATACGATGGAATAAAATCCTTAGCTGTGTTTGAGACGTCGCCTCCTTGTGGCCTCTTTTCTTCTCGTCCCTTTTCCGAAATACCCCAGTCTCGGGTTAAACAAAACTATGGATATCTTTCCTATACCTCATGACCACAAGGCATGACAAGTGGTAACGCTTTGTCCGTTCTGCAGTGTTGGCGGTAATGCGTCACATGTAACGGCGTTACCGGTAACGCGTTACGTTTTTCAGTAACGTAGTAACCTACTCGTTACTTTCTCATAACAGTAACACGGGTAACCTATTTACGTTACTGTTTCAAGTAACGGGTAACGTAGTCACGTTACTCGTTGCTTCTTCTTCTCAAGTCTTAAAGGAATTACACTTCAATGTTTTCCGTGTTTTTAGGCGTCAAGCCACGTGAATTTCTGAGTTTTCTGTGTTTTTCTTTGCATTTTTTCTTGTCAGTATTTAGGTGAAACCGTAAAAAGAGATAAAGCAATTATGCTCAGTTTCTGCATCAACATAATGTTTGTTGTAATATCATTTTATGCATACCTGTACCGTCAAGGCAGTAAAACGAATCAAACATAAATAAAAAAAAGTAACGCAAAGGTAACGTGCGTTACTTCTTATCGGTAACGGTAACGAGTTCCTTTTATTTTGAGGTAACGTAGGTCGGTAACGCGTTTCTTTTATTTGCGAGTAACGAGTTGCGTATCTCATTGCCATTTTTCGGTAATGCCTACAACACTGACGTTCTGTCGCCGATCTTCCGCCTGATAGCGCGGGCGTAGCGAGCCACCGACGAGCGCTTGGGCGGTGCTTTGTGCTCGAACACTGTCGGAACTAAATCCCAGTGGTCTCGATCAGACGACGGTCTTCCTGCACATAAGCAATCCTCAGGACGGGGATTGAAATGGAAGCTGCACTGGCTTTCAAGAAAGTGCTTACCGCACGAATTGTTGTCCGCGCGAGGCGACCATCCTTTTCGATCGGATATTATCCACCTTCTGCGCCTTTCAGAGTCAGCCGGGAACTTGTGGAAACTCACCCCGCTACTTTTGCTGTACCTTTCGGTGCAATTAACGGCTCCACAGCTTTGCGACATGCTGAAATGCTACGATGCCCATGCAAAACGTGCACCCTTTTGCCCACACCAACCGGCTCCGGCGCGATCGCAGCGCCGCCGCAGCTCCATGACGTCAAGCCCGCGTGTCGGCCTATAAAGAGTACTTTTTACATGCATTTTTATTTAAATATTTTGTGAGTTTGATATCGACAATAATTCGCTGTACGTGGGTTCGTTCTAAACGGGTTTCACTGTAATTGAATAAATGTATGTATATCACAGCCGCTGGACCTTGTACTTCAGTGGCCGTGTCTTTACAAGCCTCAAACTGGCTCCATTGTTGGTAGCGCCTGTCGCGTTCCACTTTCAAGACTTAAGAAAAACAGAAGGGATGGCGCGCGTGGAGGATAATTAACAGCAGTGACTTTTGCAGAAGCAGCCGGAGGAAAAGGAGTCGAGGAAAGGTCCCACGCTTAGAGCCTTAGACCTTGGTAGTCGGTACCCTGGAAAGCTGCACGTGGGAACCGGCCAGTTCATGATAATTGAGAGTCACTCTAGATAACCCACCCGACCAGGAAACAGACGCAACAATTTGGTATCCATCTCCTATCTTCAGCTGTTTTTTTTTTTTTGTTTTTTTTTTTTAAGCACTGCGCAACTGGAGCACGTCTGCAGAACGTGTCCGGAGGCGACTGCCATGCGTTTTTTTATAAACTTCCCTTGAACGTGATTCGGCGGCCAGTAGGAAATAAGGTACAACGAAACACGAGATAAAATTAACCGTCCGTCTGGTCACCTGTCCTTGAAGCCAGCTTCACGGACTCTGACTCGATCGCACGACGAAAATAGCTGTCCTGGCATCGACACAACAAAAAATCCGCGATATCTTGCGTTAAAAAAGAAAAAAAGAGGGCAGTCTCAACGTTGCTGGGGTTATTTAACTTCCCTGTAAGTTTTTAATGTACACAGTTTCGTTGCGGCGGTTCTACATCGGCATGCGCCGGGTCGCTCTTCAGAGATACACTGTAATGCTGGGCACGTGCTAGCCAGTCCGAGGAGTGCCTTCCACAGCTCTACGCGTATAAACAACACCACCTAGGAGAAAAGACCTGCGCGTGAAGTCATCGCTAGTGGACCCCCGACCGTTCACACATGCGGCAAACACGCTGAGGTTCGACGAGAATCGCCGCAAAGCGGCGATTTTCGTCGCTTGCCGGCGTTGCACTCGTTGTGAGACGCTTTGAGACGCGTTTGCGGCAACGCTGACGCAAGCTACGCCACGTTGCGTGAAGCCACTAGCGATGACGTTGGGAGGGAGTGGCGGAGAGGCCTTGTCTTCTAGGTGGTGTTGGTATAACTGACCGTCCTGCTTTTGTCGTGACTGGCCGCGTCCGAAAAAAAAAAAGAAAAAAGAAGCATCCTATAGGTGACGCACCGAACCCATAAACAGAATCACGTCCGGATTGCAGCTCCGGATGAGGAACATGAACGGATGGTCCACGTTGAAGTTGAAGCTGGCGCCGCCGTAGCACATCATGATGACGGGCGTCGCGAACACACCCTCGGCACCTTCTTCGCCGATCTCCAGGACGGCCTTGTGCACCACCTCAGACACCCTGACGCCCTTCGAGTCGGTGAAGCCCGCAAGATCGGCGCGGTCCGTGAATAGATCCTGGGCCCCCATCGACTCCAGGACCTTTCGGAGGCTGGAAGACTGTTCCAACTTAAACTTTGGCAGGTTCAACTCGACGTCATCGTCTTCGCAGAGCCGCCGCAGTAGCGCTTGCAGGTTGGTCGCGGTCAGGTTCGCTTCCAGCGTGGCCAGACCGTCCACCTTCTGGGGCAGGAGGATGACCATGGACACCTTCTTGCCGAAGTAGGGTATCTCGAGCGCGTTCACGTCCAGCGTCTTGCAGAATGCAGTCTTGTAGTTTTTTCTTTGGAACATCATCTCCACCATGCTTGTCTTGTCCCTCGTTTCGCGGAATGGCTTGCGCGAGGTATAATCCGACTTAAAGTCAGAGTCCCACTGGCCCTTTAGGTACATGGCGTTCACCAGGAGGACCGACGTGCTCGGCGTCACGACCCCGAGTGGAAGCGTGTCGGCCACCTGGAACTTTGTCTTCTCTTCGACCCACGAGTTTAGTTCGGTGCGGGATCGCTGAGGATTCTTGCGCAGGTCCAGTTCTTTCACGGAACCGTCGTATCCGCTTTCCAGGAGGTCTTTGAAGTCTGCCGAAGTACGAACGCTGCGGTCGACGGCGACGCCGTTGGCCAGGTGTACTTTGACGTCCGGCGCCGCGTCGGCCAGGTGGAGCACCATGTCCGCGAACTCCTTGCGGACGTCGTCGATGAGGTCATCCTGGAGGTGGAGGACTTGGGCGAGCTGGGACGCGGTCTCAGAACGACTTCCAGCGTGCGTGGCGGCCAGGGCGAGGGCGATGGCGAAGGGTGACGTGAAGATGTTGCCGTCTGCGGAACCGCCATCGCGGAGCTGTAGTTGATGGCGATGAAGGTCCACGGAGAAGTTGAGCAGGACGTCGTGGAGTCTGCTGGGAGGCGCCGAGCTACCAGAGAACAGGTACCTCAGGAATCTGCGTGTGGAATAAGGGCGGGAGTTTGATTTTTGCCACACTGCTGATCATATACATCATACAGAAGATACACTCTTCGCTGCAGACGTGACGGCAGAATTATCTGCGGGCTCGCCTCAAGCATCTTTGAAGCACGTCTGCTTCATACATGCTCCGAACATGTCTGCAGACGGTTTTTGCATGACCGATGTGACAGTAATACAAGGAAAGGACGCTTCTCGGGCTTTGTCTGAAGTCTGTCTTTTGTGTGATGTATAAGTTAGCTGTCTGGCCGCGGCTTAAGTTGAACACGCACAAAAAAATTTAAGCGCATGAAAAACATGTTTGGAGATTTCTATGCAAAGCGAAAGTTCGTCTGCTTCTTTTACAGGGGTTGTAATGACGTCAGAACGCCGAGCTCTGAATGGCTCTGATAGAGGGACAGTGGGTAGATCTCAAGACAGCTTGCTTTGAGGTCTACCCAATATACTTCAGTCTGAGCCAATCAGAGCTGGGCGTTTTGATGTCATTACAACCCTTGCAAAAGAAGCAGACGAACTAGCGCTCCGCATTGACTTGCTGTGTGCTCTCAGAAGCTTCCGCTGCACACACATACTGCCGAGCAATGAACTCGAAATAACATCCACTTTCCTTCTTTCATCGGTTTAGCCAATAAAAAGGGAGACCAGTATCATGTTGGAAGTTACCCGAGATTTCGGTAAAATATAGAAAACTTGGTAGAAGAAATAAAAATTAAAAAAACCAGGAAAAAGAACGTCGATCTGCTTAATGGGCTCGAAGCATCATGGCCATGCAGTGTCGCCTTTGGCGTTTGGTGACCTTGACGACGTTGCTGCGAGTCTCACTCGTACCCAATAAATTACCCATATTCTAAGGAGTATTTCACGCTTCTATAATCTTACATTATAGAAAAAAAGTAAACAAATTACGGGACCTCACAACCCGAACGCCTTTCGCAGATATTCCGAATATAACATTCTTGGAACGTTGAACTCGAAGTCTCCAAATACACCAGAATAAATAGTTAGTAAATAACATCTTTTTTTTTTTTTATCACTTTTGGCGTTTGCCTTTACACGGATCGTTTAGAGGGCATGAAGTGCCGACGTAGATTTCGCCCCACCGCTTGCACCTTAGCACGATCGTTGAGATGCCAGTGCCATTCAATTCGAGACTGATTCAAGTTTGAGAACCTGACATTCGAATTCCGTCCTTATGAGGGGAGGAAGTGGCCGAGTGGGCTAACGCGTCTCAGCTCGGAGCGTGGAGCGAAAGCTTGCGCTGGGAACCTCCTGGGTTCGATCCCCGCCGCCCCCGCCCGTTTCGATCTGGATGAGTTTCGTACCGGCACGCGTTCGTGTGATCACTACTGCGGGATGCACGTTAAAAATCCCAGGTTAGCGGTTGTACCGCACTGGCTAAATTTCTCATCTACAGCTAAGAGACCGATTACCCGTTGAGGCGCATCTCCATCAAGGCTGTATAAACATAAAGAGTAAGCCAATTTTTTTTTTTTTTCGTCCTTATGCGCGACCTGTTGTGCCGTTGACCGAAATCGCACTCCTTCATCTTAGCTCGGCGTACTTGAATGTGTACGTTTAGAAAACACTCAAGTACACTTTAAAGACTCCTGACCCTGAGCACATGCTCTTTGTTTTTGACCGCGAGATTTTTTTTTTTTTTTTTTTTTTTTAGAGCGTTTTACGTAGTTCCGAGTTTATCGAAGGTCGGTGTGTATACAGCAGCTGCAGCGTTACGGATAACGACCGAGGCCTCTCTCAAAGTTTCCTTGGCGATCACCTGCTGGTCGAGCAACCCAGTTGCCCCTGGTGAACCGGTTTTTCTAAACTGGTTTAATAAAAGGACAAAATGAAAAAAAAAAATGTAAAGCACGAAACAAATTACGGCATTGCATATTCTGGTGACACGCCAACGTAGAAAACAGCATGAAAACGGAAACAACGGCACAACAACGGCCATACCAAAAATCAAAAAAAAAAAAAAAAAAAAAAAAGCTCGAGGATTGGGTTGAAATAAGGGACATCACAAATACGAAGTTCTGCCTTTTGTTTTATCACCGTCTCGGGGTTGTCCGTCATTACGTTAAACGTGTATCCGATTTTTCGCGCACTTACTTTATGTTCCATGACAATAAAGAGTCCAACAGAAAAAAACAACAACAACAAGATCTTTGTGTTCCTTTGTTTGCAATTTAACACAGTGCTATTCGCTCTTATTTATTTATTTATCTATTTATTTAGACATATTATTAGTACTTATCAGTAAAAAAATCGAAACAAACAAATAAATCACGCAAGCTTGATCAAGTTGACAAAGACCCTGGAGCACAAATTGTCCCGCACAAACCCCTCGCGGTTATCTTTTGTTTTATTTATGTTTTTTTTCTTCATTTGCAATATCTTTTTGTTTTTATTGTTTATTTTTATTTTATTTTATTTTTAATTTTATATAAGTATATAACCCTAGCGGGTCGTGTATAACGCTCATTCGCGACGATTTTATTATAGAAAACGATCGATAGTGTACCGTTGTTTCTAACACATTCTGTGTTAAAACAATGGTACACACACTAAAAGTACGCCCATTCAGGCACATACTGATCATTTACACTCCAAATCCCGAGGAGATCGCTCAATGAAGGAACAAATTGTCCTGCCTCGCTACAAGACCCAGCATTGTCGGGCAACCGCCATTCCACTCATGCGAAGAGTACGAAAGTTCGATTATATCTCTTTCCGTCTTTAGGTGTTTACGTACATGTGCGTGAGTTTGCGCTGCAGTCAAACAACGCTTAATGACTTTCTGTTTCGTTCGCGCGTTTTTGTTATGTTAATGTTGCAATGCGTTGCCTCCCCCCCCCCCCCCCCCCCTCTTTATTTTCTGCAATTTCATACAAAAGGCACGTTATATATATAATGAATAAAATAATAAATGAACAAAAACGAACGCCGAAACACGTTTCGAAATACGCGCAATTCAGGAAAGTTCGGAGAAGGTGAGTTTCCACCGTCCGTCGTCATTAAGTTTAGCTTTCACATTTTTCATTTATCATTTGCTTCCAAGACCCACGTGAGGTATTACGTTTGGTAAAACAAATTTTAAAAACACTAAAGTATTATGAAATACAACATAATAAGTATATATATCGCAGAGGGAGACACAAGGCAACGCCTTCACCGAATATCTGAGTATCCGCATATCTTTACAGTCCCTCTCATTTAATGTTTGTATGCCCGCTTTTGCTAAAGTCCCATTTCATAGTACTATACAAACGTTCCTGCTTTTGCTATTGCTACACTTACCTCGAATTTCGTCAGTCGCATTCCGGAGTTCCAGGAAAGTGCGGTTAAATAATGGCGAAACCAAAACGAACGTAAATTGCGCTCGTAGAAAAACAGCGCGGCCCTGCAAGGCATAAAGTTATTATAGCTTACGCTAGAGGTTCAACTGGCGCTAGTGTCTATGCGACTTCCGGGAGGCAAAATTGAAGCAGACAGCGATTAGTCTGCTTTTGCGGTGCTCCTGTGCATTCCTATGAGAAAACGCGCGTGCATTTTTCCTTTTCGCCGGAAAATAGCATGGAACACTTTTGTTATTTGGGTCGTACCGATTGCTTTAGTGAGCGCATTTTTCTTCATCAGTGAAGGATGTGTAACTTCGCTATATTTCAGGTCCAAACCTCTGTTCCACAGCAGGTGTGTAAAAACAAGCGATGATTCTAAGCAAAATAGCAACAGAAAGGAATATAGAGCGTGCGGAAGGCTCGCCAGCATTCCGGTGACGCTTATATATTGCTACTATGCCAGTCTTGTCGCTATATGAAAATGACCCCTTCTTGCATCTTTATGAGCGGTTAAAAACATTCAAAGCGTAAAGTACAAAGTACGTGGGGTATGAAAGACGTCTCTTTCTAATATTTTCTCTGCCGTGCAGTCTTTATTGGCCACTTGTTATCAAAGGTTTCGAGCGTTCGGGTGATGTTTGGAACGTAGAACAAGAGCAGGATACTTATTGAAACTTTGACCATATTACACTCTAAAAAAAAGCCCGTGCGTCTGCTTTCCCGCACAACACTCAGAGAGCCAATCACCGCAACTTACGGAGGCAGCTCAGCGATTGACAATGCCGAAACATATGTTTAGATCAAAAAACGCAGTCTGGGTTGTGACATTAAGCAATGCAAGCGTGACGTTTTGCACTGCTTAATGTCACAACTCAGACGGGCCATTTATAAAGTTTGGAGCAGGTATAGCGCTCACGTTGAGCCAAAGCAGCGCAATTTTGCATGCTGTCACCATACGTTTGAGAAGTGACTGTAATTTAACTAAGTCGCGAGTTGCTAAAAATAAAAATAAATAAACGTACTGACTTTTTTTTTTTTTTGGACCAGAGTATGTTATTTGACTAATTCAAAAGAGATGCACGATTTTTCAAGCGGTAAAATCATCTAAATTCAGTGGTGGGTTTTTTAAAGCCGAGGTCACAATGCTCATATACATCATACAGTTGACAGTCTGCAAACACAAGTCACCGCAATATATCCGTGTTTCGAATGCCGCGTGCCAAGTTTCCTCCTTGAACTCATTGTCATGTGGCATTCGAAGCACGGATCTCGTGGTGACTCGCCTTCGAATCTGTACTGCAGACCGTCTTTTGTATGATGTACTATAATCATTGTGACCCCGACTTAATTAAGGCACATCATGGGAGTGCATGGATTGCACTTTAATTTCCCCCAAGTTATCAGCCGTACTGCACTGGTGAAATTTCCCGCCTAGGTTGACAGGTCAGGAGTTAAGGTAAAGCTCCAAGCACTCCTTTCCCCTTTAGCAGAGCGAATGCTGGAGAGGAGGCGACCTCCTCTCCGGCGCTCGTTCTGCTAAAGTAGAAAGCAAGGGGGGGGGGGGGGGGGGGGGGCTTTACCTAATCCCTTCATCTGTCACAGACTATAAAGTGGGGACACAAGATTGGGGGGATCGGTTGCCGAGTGGGCTAAAACGTCTCAGCTCGGAGCGTGGAGCGAAACCTTGCGCCGCAGGACCTCCTGGGCTCGGTCCCCACCCTATGCCCGTTTCGATCTGGATGAGTTTCGTACCGGCACGCGTTCGTGTAATCGCTACTGCGTGTTGCACGTTAATAAAGGTTCCCAGGTTAGTGGCCATACTGCACTGGCTGAATTCCTCATCTACAGCTAAGAGACATTTCACCCATTGAGGTGTACTAGCACCAAAGCTGTATAAACATACAAGCTACACAATTTATTTATTTTTTACACAAGGCGACGTTATTTTAAGAACTAACTCGCTTCATTTGAAACTTCTATAGAACAAATTTCTTACAAATTTCTGAGTACTTTTGAGTAGCTATATTCTTGTGACAAGTATTTGTACAAAACACTGACCGAAACGACCAGTCGAACTATAAAAAAAGGCACATAAATCAAGCTGAGAACTCCCACCTGTTCCACAAAAGTGAACGTAGCCTTGAGTATAAAGTCGCGGAATAAATATTGTAAAGAAAGACGTGACGCGTATTTGTCTTGACTTCAGGAAAGCCTGCATGGTAAGTTACCGTCCAAGTGAATACAACGCATCTATTTATCTCCACGCGAGCGCAACCAAAAGGTATCCCGCCGTATACGCATAAAGCTTGACGTCACAAAGGAAAACCAACCATGGAGAGTCCGGCGTCTTTTTTTTCCGCTTACAGATTTGTCGCGCATGAAAGTTTCCCACGAGGCAAAAGTGCCCTCGTCCTAAGCGAATTCATGGGGGGCATCATAAAGCGTCCTTGTTTTCTAGTTTCGGATGTCGCACTCTGCGTTGTTGTCTGTCGTCGTTGCCCTTGGTTTTAAGCGTACTGCAGAGAAATAAGACACGCCGGGCGTCGATAAACAAACCAAGGTTATACTTACGTTGTACTCTTCAACGCGTGAAGTGGTAAAATTAGTTACAATGGACTTTTTTTTTTTTTTTTTTTAGTTCTGCGCATGCGTACAACCTCTTCCTTGGCCTTGCTTTCCGCAGTCGCCATTTTGAACCAACATTGTCCACATCTATCTTTGCGACAATTTCGTATTTTTTGACGACTCTTTTTTGAGTACCAGTAGCATGGGACATGAAAAGAAATTAAAAAAAAAAAAACGATACAATGGGCACGATGCTAATCTAGAACACCCTAACGATGCCAATGTGTTCTCCCTGTAGTAAGCAGATTGAGCTGCCCTTCATTTGTAACTCGCAAGCAAGTCCTCCCCTCTCCCCCCTCCTCCTCCTCCTCCTCCTCCTCCTCCTCCTCCTCCCCCCAGACGGCGCTCGTCCCTTGAAAATGCCCATTAAAGAAAATGTACCCGAGTTAAACATTAAGTTGCATTTTTGTTTACCGGTTTAGTTAGAGCTATGGTTACTGACAAGAACGAACGAAGCTCCAGGTACTTTTAACATATCGACGTTTGTAATGTGATCATGGTATATATCGCCCAAAGTTTTGTTCCCAGCGCGCTAACTGGTACGCTTCCGATTCAGCAGTACCGGGGATAGAGTGTGAGACAATGTATTGGTGTATTGTTGACATAGTTTCTAAAAAGGCGGCTGCAAGTAAAAATTAAGTAACAATTTACCCCCAAAATGTAATCAAGTTACAGTTGAAGTCACTGGAATTTTATTCTAACTTGGGGATTTAGTTGTGATAGCCCTAACTAATTACAGTAACCACAATACTTTAATCAATTAGCTCAGTGCTGGGAGACTGGATGAAGCATATGTGAGGTTCCACAAACGGATCGAAAATTTAAAGTTGAAAAGTAAAGGAAAAATGTGAAAACAGTGAAAAGAAACGCGTTAACGTGCACATAATCTTAAAACCATTAATAGTCACTGCAAGGGAAGAGTAGAGATTATAACTGCCGCATCCTTCTCTTCGAAAATATTTAAAACAATCTAATAAAAAGATATTTAAAAATACATTTTGGCAGCGTCCACTCCAACAAAGTCAAATATAGTCGTAAGAATGCATTACGTGCTCCCAACCCCGACGCGAGTTTTTTTTTTTTTTTTTTTTTTTTTTTTTCTGTTTTGATAACACTTGGTAGCATCGCAGCCAAAGCTTGGCGGACGGCATTGAGCGTACGCTGTAGGCAGGGAAATCGTCTGCTAATTTAAGCTTACCCGGGGAATTCCTCGTGAGGGGTATTATACTAAAGCTTGTTTTAACCCGCGCGCTAATCTTCAGAGATCTAATTTTTGTTTGGCGGAAAACGACCACGTTTGTTTTATAGACAATGCGCGAAAAAAAAAAAAAAGTACAGGTAACGGGTTTTTACGAAGGTCATTGCTGACAAACCCTCTCCAACGTCTGCGTCTGCCAAG